GTAACCAAAAACTAAAAAGAGAGAAGACATAGGGAACAAACAATGCAAAAAATCACAAAGGTTTATTTACCAGAGAGCTGATGGGTTTCAGTCCTTGGCAGGCCACCTGGAGACACTCGCTGACAGGGACACACGGAGGTCGTCAAGTACACCGCGGCAAGGAGCTCGGTCTCTTGACTCAAAGAGAGGCCTCTTAACAGTCTGGGCTCAAAGGCAGGGCAGGAATGGCAGTTTGGCAGTTTGGCAGTTTCCAGGGCGGAGGCGAACGTCTTGTCTGTGGAGGTCAGACAGGCATCTGACTGCCGCTGTGAGAGTCCTTTTATACCCATGGGTGGGCTTCTTCAGTGTCTCATATCAGTGTGCTCCGGGGGCCTCCGGGCTTATCAGCATGCACATGCAGCGGGTTACAAGTTGTTTGTCAGGAGTTACAAGTTATTTATCAGGAGTTAACATGCAGGGCGTTACAGGTTGTTTACACACAGGGAGTTACAAGTTACTTATCCGGGTCACACACAAATTAAGTTCCTCTTCTAAGTAAAGTTTAAAATTCACTCTAATAAAAAATGAAATTTGATTATGCTATCTTATACTAACTAAACTTATTACTATAACATCTGCCATTGGGGGCTTTTGCCTTCATTACTCTGAGTGACTGGGGAGTCACTGCAGGGGTTTGAGCAGAGACATTAAGAAATCATTATGGCTGCTGGGTTGAGCATGGATGGTATGGTGTGAAGCAGGCTGCTTGGACCGGCTTATGCTATCCAGGTGTGACATAGGTTGTTAGGACCAGGGTAGGGATAGTAGTGTAAGGGTTGGAAGTGCTACATTTTGTAGGAGGAGCCACCAGAATTTGTTGTCAGTCAGGGTGTGAGAGAGGGGAAAAGCCAAGAATGTCTCCACAGTGTGGGGTTTGAACAACTGGAAGAATGGAATTGCATCCACTGAGACAGGGAGGTCTGTGAGTGGAGCAAATTGGGAAGGAAAGAGAACAGTAGAAGCTGGCATTTTGAAATGTCCAAATGGAGGCATTCTGAATGGATAAATAATATTATTTTACTTATATACGTTACCAAGAGCAGTAAAATTCACAGACAGAAAGTAGACTAGAGTTTGCCATGGTTTTGAAAGAGTGAAAGAATGGGAACTTAGTGTTCAATGTGTACAGAGTTTCCATTTGGGAAGATGGAAAAGTTCTTCTTTTTTTAAATTTCTTTATTGATTAAGGTATTACATATGTAACACTGCCAATGGTATAAACAGTACACTTAAAAATTGTTCAAATGCTACTGTAAGAAAGTAAAATACTTGGTTTCTGAGGCTGCCTTCCTTTCACCCTGCATTTCCCCCATGGTCTTCAAGCTCCTGCTATAGATATACTAACTCCTAAGAGAAATTCCGCTTGAGACTTGAGTTTTTTTGAAGAATAGCTCCTTGCCAGAAGGTGGGGAAATATGTGAAAAATAGTGAGTGTTTACCAAACATCAGCAGGACTCAACAGGGAGATTTAGAGATTTCTTGCTCTTCCTCAGATCCCTGCGGGTGCCCTGAGATGTCTGCTGCCATTAATCACCTCTTGTCCCTCCCATTTTCCCTTCCCTGATTTAAAAAAAGCCTTACCTTGGGGCTGGGGGAAGATGGATTTGAGGAACCTCTAAGGCCCTCATCTTCCCAATTGGGCACCATCTTGATCAATAAACCTTTCCTTACTCCAAACTCTGACATTTTGAATATTTGCCTTTTGAAATGTTGGGCACATTCACTTTTAAACTGGTATTAGTACACTTCATGATATATAGGTTTAACCACAATAAAAATATGAAATGAGCAAAATAATGAAGAAAGATGTAGCCCTTTAAATTTCTCTAGTGATAGCATTGATTTGTTATTTGTGGTGGGTCCGATCAACGATACCTGATAATTTATACTAATGAGATGATTCAAGGTAGAGATTGGTCAAAAAGACTAACCAGGGAAATCAAGAGGTGGGGCTTTAGGCCAAATTATGTCAGCCCTGTGGGGAGGAAAGCTGGAAACTGTGTTCAACCAAATGGGCAATAATTCAATTTATCACATCTAGGTAACAAAGCCTCATTAAACTCTGGATACTGGAGCTCAGGTGTGCTACCTGGTTGGCAAGACTCAGAGTATTGTGTCACATTGTGTCAGGAGGGGGTAATGGGTCAGAACTTCATGGGGAGAGGACAAGAAGCTTTACATATGGGATGCTTGAGTATTCCCTGCCTATCTTCTTTTCACTAGTCCTAATTTGTATTCCTTTGCTGTAATCAAACTGTAACCATACATATAACACTGTCCTAAGTTCTGTGTCTCATGCTGGTGATTCTTCAACCTGAGGAAATGCCCTCATTCTGAGTCACTTGAACAAATTATTGAATGGGAGGGAGGCCCTGAGTTTGTGGCTTACTGGTCTGAAGTGAGGGTGGCCTTGGGGACTTCTGAACTTGTGGCTGGTGTCTTAAGTCAAAACAGTCTTGCAGGGACTGTTCCCTCACACTCTGTGGTTATGCAAACTCTTTGTAACAAGGAAGGGCAGTGGATGAAGTCAAGCCAAGTTGAAGCCCCTCAAAGGCCTCCTAAAATCACCAGGAAGGTCTGGGTTGAGGATGATCCCTTAGAGTTGGCTGGTATTGGTGACCAGATGCCAAATGTCATGGCATGTGAGATGCTTCAGAAGGAGGCATGACCTTGGTTACCGTGGCTCTCTGCAGCTGAGACAGATCCCTATGGGGGCTGATGCTGAGGGCTAAGTGGTACAACAAACACTTGGAACAACATGTCCCTCATAACTAAAAGGATATCTTTTCATTTTATTGTGGTAAAATAACATAACATAAATTTACCATCTTAACCATTTTTATTGTTGTGTTGTTATTGTTGTTAATCCTCACCAGAGTATATTTTTCCATTGATCTTTTAGTGGAAGAGAGAGGGAAAGACAGAGAGAAACATTGATGTGAGAGAAATACATCGATTGATTGCCTACTGCACTAGCCCTAACCAGGGCCTTGGGCCAGGGAGGAGCCTGCAACCAAGCTACAAGCTGGTGACCAGAATCGAACCTGGGACCCTTTGGTCTGCAGGCCGATGTTCTATCCACTGAGCCAACCCAGCTAGTGCACATCTTAACCATTTTAAGGGTTGAGTTCAGCAGTTACGTACATTTACAGTGCTGAGTAACCATCATCAACATGCATCTCCAGACCTCTTCTTTCATCTTGCAAAATGAAACTATTTCCCAATTAAACACTAACTCTCTATTCCCTCTGCCCCCAGCCTTTGGCAACCAAAATTCTACTTTATGTCTGTATGAATTTGACTACTTTAGGTGCCTCATATAAGTGGAATTATACAGTATTTGTCCTTTCATGTTAGGCTATGTAATTGATAGAGCAGATGTTAGATAGAGTGGAAAAAAATTATCAGGATAATTGGGAATCATGAATCCAGTTATCCTAAGAAAGTCCCAGTTGATAAATACTTATTCAAATGCAGTATTAATACCGTCCCATTAAAATTTCAACATACCTTTGTATGAATAAGACATTGAATAGTAACCTATTTTCTCAAAAATATGGCCAAAATCATGAATCAGGAAAAAATGGATAGAGAAAAATCATGGGGAAAGCATAAAAAGAATAAATAACAAGAAAGAGTGAGCTATGATTTTTTTTTAAGAATAGAAACAAGACTGCTTATGACCAAGAATCCTGGTTAATGCATAAGGAATGTAAGAGGGGTAGACTAAAGTATGATGCATAATCCTGAAGGGGTTATGACATAAACTGAGAGTCCAAAATAATCTCCCAATTGCATTACAGGAATTCTAAGAGGGAAAATTGTGTGAGCAGAATGCAGAGAGCCATATAGGTACCTATGAATTGTGTGACTGCAGATTCAGAATTTCTTGTTGCACATGTTTGATTTTACTGCTCTTTGCAGTCTATGAACCAAAAATGACAGCACAGGTAAAGAGATCAGACTATTCTTCTGATCATCCTCCATAGGGCACTCTTGATGTCCCTGTTCCTCAGGCTGTAGATGAAGGGGTTCAGCATGGGGGTGACCACAGTATACATCACTGAGGCCACCGCATCCTTCCTTGGGGAAGATGACAGGGTCACAAAAGAAATGATGGATTTCCACATCTGTACAGAAGTTAAGTTGTGACACCATCAAGTAGTGCAGCTGAGAGTCCAAAAGGCTGAAGAAATATGACAACAGGACCAACAACCCACAGAGGCGGGGGCTCATGATGACCAGGTAGTGTAGGGGCTGACAAATGGCCACCAACCGGTCATAGGCCAGCACAGCCAGGAGTAGACTTTCCAAACATGCAAAAAGAGAAAAAAAGGTAACCTGAGTTAGGCAGCCTGCATAGGTGATGGATTTGCTGTGTGTCTGCAGGTTCACCAGCATCTTGGGAACTGTCGTGGTGCTGAAACTGATGTCAGCCAAGGACAAATTGGAAAGGAAGAAGTACATAGGTGTGTGGAGGTGGGAGTCAGAGATGACAGCCAGGATCATGAGTAGGTTCCCGAGCATGGTCACCAGGTACATGGACAGGAACAGGCCAAACAGAAGAGGCTGCAGTTCTGGACGACCTGAGAGTCCCAGGAGGAGGAATTCAGAGTCAGCTGTCCCATTCTGTGGTTCTATACAGATAGGACACATTTTGAAAAAGAAGAGGGTGCTAAATAAATGAAACAAGTGTAGAGGCACCCATATTTTGGATTCAAGCAATTCACAAATAGTTACACTTGAGGACCATATAACCTCCTTGCTCATGTCTGAGTTGTTAACTCTTTTTAGAACTCTTTCCTTATTGATGTCTGGGCTATTCGTGTGTTTCTATATACACTTTAGAGTCACTGGGTCAAAGAATATTAGAGAAGAAAGGACATTTTGAGTAACAAATCCATGAGCAGTTCAAAATATCAGCCTTCAACTTTCGAAGGAAAAATATAGAATGAGATGTATTATTTTATTACACAAATACAATTCAAAGAAACTAAGAAGCAGTTGAAAGTACTTTATCTCATGCAAATGCAGTTTAAGAAGTTTCCTTAATTTGAAATATAGTCTAAAAAGAGCTTAACCCACATTAACTCTATTCTAACTTAAAATCTTCTTAATGAGATAGCATTTTTACATGGCAAATATCTTTAAGGATGTTCATCTTTATTTGGTTTTTGCCATCCATCTTTCATGGAGATAAGTGCTCACTCAAATGGGTGGGTTGTCTGGTAAACGTCCCTCAAATATAACTCATCTATACTAATAAAAGACTATGTGGTCACCATGCCCTCACACAGTGATGCCCTCATGCTGCAATGAGTGATCGCTAGGAGGCTCCGTGTGCAGTGGGTGTGCGTGGGTGGGCGAGGCTGCATGAGCTGCGAGGTGCATGTGAGTGGTCGGGGACTTGACACAGCGACCCGGCGGGAACTTGACCTGGAGATGCACTGGGGGAGCGAATGGCGGCTGTTGTGGCCCAGGGCTGGCCCAAGGCTGAAGCAAGCTTCAGATGGTGGCTGCCGCTGCAAGGTCCCGAGGCTCAGGCAACGAGGGCCGGCCAAGGCTCAGGCAAGCTGCAGTGTGTGTGAGGGCCGAGGCTCAGGCAGCCTTGCAGCCGGCAGTGGCAGCAGCAGAGACATAATGGGGCATCGCCTTCCCCTGATCGCCGGGTAGCCTCCCGCAGAGGGAGGCCAGAGGCAGCAGCAGCTAGGGGGTGATGCAGGCAGTGCCTTCCCCTGATCGTCCAGTTGCCTCCTACAGCGGGAGGCCAGATTGCAGCATAGGCCCACTCTCCATAGGAAGCGGGCCTAAGCTGTCAGTAGGACATCCCCTGAGGGTGCCTGCACTGTGAGAGGGGGCAGGCCAGGCTGAGGGATGCCCCCCAACAATGCATGAATTTTTGTGCACAGGGCTCCTAGTATATAAATATTTGGTCTTGGTAGACTACATATTTTAAAAAATATGTGTCTTTTTTGTTTTGTTTTTTCTTTGTTTTTTAAAAATATATTTTTATTAATTTCAGAGAGGAAGGGAGAGGGAGAGAGAAATAGAAATATCAATGATGAAATAGAATCATTGATTGGCTGTCTCCTGCACACCCTCTACTAGGGATCAAGCCCAAAAACCAGGCATGTGCCCTTGACCAGAATTGAACTGGGGACCCTTCAGTTTCCAGGTCAATGCTTTATCCACTAAGCCAAACCAACTAGGGGAAAAATATGTTTTTGTTAAGTGAACAAAATCATACAGCATCACTGATCCTGAAGATGATAGTAATTTACAATGCACCAATGATTAAATAATATTAACTTTTATGAATACTTACATTTACTTTTCTTTTTAGAAAAGTTATTTTCTATCAGTGATACACAAACCAAGAAAAACATCTGAAGTTGAGTTTGTACTGTACTGTTTGGTTTGTAGAGGATGGGTAACACTTCTTAAATTTGTCTCTAATCAGAAACATTTGTGAAGGGTTGATTTCTCATCAAAAGCAACCCTCCAATGAACAGTGGAGAGATTTAGGGCAAAGTTCCCTTAAACTTTAAATTGGCTTTCTTATGCCAGCTTCAGAGCTTTCCAAGTCAGTTCTCCCTTACAGAGGGACTGCATTTCTCCTAAATCAGTCCCTTGAAGGCAACTTGGATCATTTCTCTTCACGGGTCAAAACAGAGGTACCACTTTGTCAAAATATTTATTCCTTTGTGTGACATGCTAGATTCCTATGTATATAACTGTTCATTTCTATTTTATAAACACTGCTTAAATTTACTTTCACTATATCATAAAAAAACTATTTTTTCATTAAAAAATTATGTAATTTGTGAGAGACCAAAAGAGAAAAGAACAAAGACCACTATTGCAAACAGCTGGGTAGTTTGCTCATCTGTAAAAGGGGTATTTAATTAAACTGACCTTATAGGGTTGCTGTAAGAAATAACATTAAATTATAAATATAAAATATGTAAACACTGGTTATCAATGCAAGTTGATCATTATAATTACCTATCCATCTTTTAAGCTTAATGATGGGCTGGTCATACCTAGAACCAATTAAATCAGAATTTCTACACATAAGTATTTTGGGTATATTAACATGTAGCCAGTGGAGGCAACCATTGCCAGGCTATTTATAAATGTTGTATTAAGTTATCAATTATTATCAATACCATTTTAACCATTACCCATATGAAAATATGAATATTTAATAATACATGCTGAAGAACTCATATTTATTATTGAAAAAACTTGAAGTTACTTTGCTATTCCTGCATGGTCTTCTCCTGCACTTAGTTGTCCGGAGGGAAACACTGTCATGGATTTGCTGAATGTATACTCTTTTCAATATTTTTATAATGTTACCTTACACTATGTATACATAAGCAGTTTCCTTGAAAACTTATCTAAATACTCTCATGCTGCCCATATTGCTGCCTGAGTTCTCATTTTTACCACAGCATTGCATT